TCGAACTAGGTTCTGGCAACCCTGCCACTAATTTAGTGTGCCCCTGCCGCCGATTTAATGCAGTCTGCAACAAAGTGTCACTCTCATTGCCATGTTAGCAGTTTTATTGTGTCAGACCGTTAAACATGGTAGTTCCACTGTCGATCTGTACCAAGGAAGAAATGAGGGCTGGAATTAAAGTTTTGTTTGCGGAAGGTGTTAAATCTGCAGAAATTATTCATTGAATGAAAGTTTGGTGTAGTAACAGCTGTTTATTGCGAAGCAAAATCTACGAATACATAGAGCGCTTCAAACAGGAAAAAACTTCTTCATCTGATAACGAAAGATCGAGAAGCCCACTGAAGTCAATGACTGAGAACAATTTGAAAGTCAGTGACAGCATACTGATAGAAAACAGACGAATCACAGTGGATGAAATTGCCAATTCTTTACATATCAGTCATGGTTCCGCACATTCTAACTTAAACTAAATTTTTAAAAAGTGTGTGTGTGTGCAAGGTGGGTCCCGAAAGAACTGTCAGTGCATCATAAGGATCAAAGGTTGAGAATCTCTGGGAAACATTTGGCCAGTTATTGTCATGAGGGTGATGGAATTTTACAGCAAATCATTACTGTAGATGAAATTTGAATGCATCATCTCGAACCGGAAAATAAGGCTGCAAGCACAGTTTAGAAACACCCATCATCATCAGAAGTTAAGAAATTTAAACATCAACCATCAGCTGACACAAACTATTCTGGGACATGGAAGGTGTAGTAGCCATTCATTTTACCCCAAGAGGTAAAATTGTTAACAGTGGGAACTATTGCAATGCGTTGCAAACTAAACTAAAATCTGCAATCACATCCAAATGTCATGGAAAACTTTGAAAAGTTGTCATCCTATAGCAAAATAATACTCGGCTGCATTCTGCCAAATGGCTGGCTGGCTGAAACAATAAAAAAGATGAGATTCAAAGTGTTGGAGCACCAGCCATAAAGTCCAGGCCTGTCTCTATGCAACTTTGGACCCTTGAAAAATGCTAAGGGGAAGAAGATTTTCCCCTGATGAAGAAATCATTGATTTGGTGTAAAAGTGGTTACACATGCAACCAAAAAACTTTTTTCCAATGGAATAAAGAAACCTGTGAAACATTGGGCAAAGTATGTTGAAGTCTAGGGAGGTTATGGAGATTTCAGTTTTCTATCATTAGAATAAATATTACTTTTCTAAAAAGGTCCTTTTACTTTTTGGCTTTCCTTCATACAAGCATATTTCCACAAGTTAACAGGATTACCATAAATTTACCTGATTCACGCAACCAAACGTTACTGAATTCACTTGCTCTGGTTTCACTTTGGCATTTTCAAGAGCAGCAATGCTCGCTAAGACACCAAGGTGAGTAGCTGTAAAATCTTTCAGTTTGCCACCAAATGTTCCAAATGGTGTTCTTTTAGCACCAACAATAAAAACACCTGTTTCCGTAAAGAAAATTTAACTTGAACACTCATCAGTACTGAAATGACAACATTGAAAACGTACACAATAAAACAAATATTAATAGACACGCCATACAGTATAAATAGACTTTTCTGAATTTATTTAAACAAAATGCCCTTCACTAACAAAACCTAATCTAAAAATAAAATTATGTAAGATATTTAAATTATTTTGAAAACGTAAATTTTGTCATCTTACCTCTTAACAGGGCAGTCATATTTAAGATTTATTCAACTGCAAAATGCTACAGAAAAATGCAAACAAAAGCTATTAATATACAATAGCAATAGAACAATTTTTAGACGAATTCATACTGACTTCAAAAGTAAAATTTTAACAGAAAAATTTTATTACTTATATGCATATAATTAATAAAATAACATGATTATTATCAGATGTTTTGCATTCAAGATCCAAAGGCAAGTCTTAGGTCTGTTTTCTGCATTTCACGTTGCTACATTACTCCCCATTCAAGTGCTTTCAGCATGATATGTGAATGCCATAAAAATCCTATTGTGCTGACAAATGAGTATAGGCATGTACAAACCCTATGCTGTGATATAATAATTCATACCAATAAAAGAGAACAGTGATTATGCCTGGGTCAACACTGCAATACCTACTATCAGCAATGCAAGAGCACTATTCTGATGGCACCATCTATCATATGCAGCATACATCATAACTTCGGTATTGCTTACCAATTCATTACTTAACTCATCACGACCCCAAGGGGTTACAGGACTTGCAGCAGGGGGGTTGCCAAATATTTTAGCAGTTTTGATATTTCTTTAACTTATTATAATAATTTTACAATTACCAAAATCTTTTTACCTGTACTGGAAAACAAAGAGAAGACACATTTCGATGCCTCTTTTTTAATATAAACGTTCCTTCCTTGTTTTGCATGTGTGCTGTCTTCGTTGACTTCTTCAAAATTTCACAGGTCGGTCTTAAAAGAGAAAGTAAAGGAATGACCTAAACTGCAATAGATATTACGTACAGGTGAAAAAGTTCACAGTTTCACTCACGCGTGTCAGATTTGTGCAATACTTATGGGGTCTCACAAAATTTTTGTAAATATGGGGTCCTGGGGGTTGCGAAAAAAATCTCAGTGATAAAATGGAGTTGCAACTGAAAAAAGTTTAAGAAACCCTGCTCTAAGATCTTGGAAGCGTTTTTCTGCATTCAAGATCCACAAGCAGGTGGGGATCTGTTTTTTGCAGTCTGTGTGTTATTACAAATTTTAGAGACAATTATTTTCAGGAACAAATAATTTGTTATGAAATAACTCGTATAAAACTAAATAGTGTTAATACTTCAACTGTTGCAGACAGTTTTAATACTTTAGGTTATCTGAATATGGCAAGGCACACAAAAGCTATCTCCCAGGGAAAGAGATGCTTTATGAAGGACCTGGTAAGAGAAATTGGCTTGTATTTATTCTACACATGAAGAAGAGCATGAAGACAAACCATCCAGTCAGTCAGTAGGCCTGCGTTTGAATCCAGGTTAATTCTAACAGTATTCAGCAGTCTTAACCACACAGCCACTTGTTAATAAATCAGAGGAGATGACACCAACTAGTACAATCCAGTAGCAAGTTGGTGAAAAAATATAGATTAGAGAAAATCATAAAAACATAATTTAAATTTTTGAAAGGGCATACCTTGAAATATATAATACATATAAGGATAAATTATCCTTTATCGTAGTTAAGCCAGCTATCCATTTTCAATGCTACAGAGGCTGTTCACACATTTTTTAGACGATTTTGGTAAGCAATAATAAAAACTCGTTTGCTGCAAAAAAGTAATTGCAATTGTACTATGTTTTTAAAGTCAAAATTATCGTCTGGTGCTTGAAAATTGGGTTATTAAAATGCCATTTAACAACAGTGGTTTGAAAACTACATTACGCCTTTCCGAGCGAAATATGCATACTCTGTTATCCAAAACGATGTTGAGTCATGGTTTTGTGATACTAGCGTCATAGGTATATCTCCAACAAAAAGGAAAAAAAACAAAATTGGAGCCTCAAGTGGGACAAAAGTTCCAAACAAGTTCCACAAAAACGGACATCTTCGACTTGCAAAGGTACGTTTGAATGCAAAGCTCCCCCTAGCCAAGGACACTTGCACATCATTAAAATCTCGTGTTCACTGTAAACAAAATGATAAACTTCTTTAATTTAAGAAAGCAAAAAATAAAGGTGCATCGCTTCTTCCAAAGCATATCGCTCAATGTAGACACGCGCAGATTCAGAGAAACACTGAGCCAAAGAAATGGAAAACAATTGTCACAATAATGAACCATGGGGTTTATGAGTGTAACAAAAGAGCCATTCCATAAACGGGAGACAAAATAAGTACGTGGTTCAAAGAATCAAGAAGTTTTTCTAAGGATTATACTTGTTGTGGTTTTCTATAAGGCAAGTTAAAAAAAAAGTGCAAAAATTTCAAGATTAATCCCATCTATCAGGAACATATTTTATCGCCAATTTTTCTGAATGAAATCAGCGCTTTACCCATAGTGCCTTCAATCTGTGAGACTCTATCGGCCAAAGCTACAGTCACCCCACACCAAATCCACTGTAAATTTCCTACAAGCATGGAACACGAACTTATCAAGGCCATACCCTTCACTGGATCCCTCTAAATCTCCCGATGTCACCTAGGTTTTGTGCTTTAGATTTGAAAATGCTTATCCAACGTTCCCCACCCTAACAGACTCGAAAGCTTTCGGGAGGAATGGATGAATACCTCTTCTGCCACTCAAAAGGTTTATATCCTGGAAATTACGGTGTCGAAAGATAGTAGAATAAGAGAATAACATTTAAAACACAAGAATTTTATGTAATTTAGTTTTGTGAATACAATATACATCGTCTAAAAATTGTGTGAACAGCCTCTGTACAACAATGGATAAGCCACTTTCTGCATTAATAAAATATCCAATCTTGAAAACTGTTCATCTGTGCATTAATTCAGGTTCTAAGAGAGATCTCATTAACTGGGCAACCCAACTCTATTCACATTGAGAAGAGAAATTACATTCACAATTATTAAGATTACAGGAAGTGAAAATGCGATGCCTTGGGTTCATACAGTCCAATCCAAAGACCTCTTTATTTTTGAAAAATATTATATACCCATCTTACTTCTTTAAATAACAAATAGACTAAATAATAGTTATGCAACATAGGCCATATAAAACAGTCATTAGGATGGGAACTAGCTGGCGGTGTTCAGTAAAATTCAAGAAAATGCCATCAGCAGTGTTGACAACAGAAATTCAGGATAAAGTGACCAATGCTAAGCATTATTTTCTTCCCGCTATTCTGAAGGGCACTCAGAAAAGTAGATTTACTGATATTGATCATGCAGGCCATCAAATGGCAGTTTTTTTTCATTCCCAGAGATAGTAGCACCTTACAATCTTACCTCTCCCATGACAGCCATCTCAATAATAAGCTTCACACTTCAACCCTTATAATTTGTGGCATGCACGCTTTGATTTTCACTTTCATTCAGTGCTACTTAAAATGGAGGAACTAAAGAAACAGTGTGTTGAAGATAAACAACAATTTCAGTCCAAGAGCCAGGAAAGTTACTTTTTTATGGAATATAATAGAAAAGTTTTGAAGGAGTATAATGTAAATAGACACTATACCAGCTTGCATAAATCAAAATATGACCAAAAGCAAGGAAGTGCCAGTTAAAATTATTAAACACAGACAGATATGTGTTTAATAATTTTAAACTGAAACTAACTACACAGAGGAACGTCTTTCAGCAACTACCAAACACTGCTGGTTTTAAACATCTTATGAGGTACGTTTAGAGCTAGTTAAAATTAAGAGTCTTTTTAGGAATGGTAAGCTCATTAAAAAATATGCTGCAAAAATATTTTCATTCAAAGACAATAAGACAGCTAAAAATTTTGAAAGAGTCTCCTTGTCTCGTCACATAGTAAGTAGAAGAATTAATAAAATGGGTAGTAAAATTTCAAATAATTTCAAGGAAAATTTCGAAAAATGTGTATTTTACCCTCTCTAGCTCTAGATGAAAGCACAGATCTAGCTGACATCAGCCAGCTCTCTTCCTCTGTCAGAACAATAAATGGAAATTTGAAATTCATGAACTGTTGGAATTAAAATCATTAGAAACCAACACCAAAGGTATTGACAATATTTAACAAAATTTTTAGTGGGGGCATAAAGTCATTTCTAACTAAGGAGGTTTTGGGAGGTGCTCTGACATTAAACAGATGAAGCTCAAGCAAAGGATCACAGAAATGGGTTATTAAGACTGCATAAACAAAAAGGCACACACATTTCTTGTTTTTCCGCTGCATTATTCACCAGGAGGATCTCTGTGGAAAAATTATAAGGCTTAGTGAGACAATGAGAACTGTTGTAAATATTGTAAATTTAACAGAGGGAGGCAATAGAGCCTAAAGACACAGAGCATTTATTACATCGCTGGACAATTCGGAAGCTGAGAATGGTGGCATTTCATTGTACTGTGAAGTGCACTGGCTAAGTGCTGGAAATTTCCTGCAAAAGGATTCTTGTTTTTCTCAAAAAGAAAACATTCGGCATGAGTATCAAGAAAAACTGAAAGAAAATTTTTAAGTAATCTTGCTTTCCTGACCAATTTAACATTCCATCTAAATGCTTTAAACCCGAAACTACCAGGCAGAAAACAAAATACCTCCCAGTTGTGTGGACATAAAAAAACTTGATGTACTGCAAACTGCACTGAAGGCAAATAATACAGTACACTTTCTATCTTGTCAGCAGCTGAAAGAAGAAAATTACACAAATTTTAGTATGCTGCATGATACCAAGAAAATGTTCCAGGTGAGATACCACGATTTTGACTCTCTAAAACCTAAACCTGCACTGTTAATTAACCTCATGCAGATTGAAGTGAGTGAGGTGCCATGTGACCTTCAAATGGAAATTTGCAATCTCCAGGCATACCCATTCTACCAGACTAAAAAGTGTGAGGTCCCTGAAAATTTCTGGAAACTGATTCCAAAAGAAAGTCTCCCAAACTGCTTAAATTCTCTCTACAAATGTTATCACTGATTGGAAGTACATATATGGGTGAAACTGCTTTTTCTGCTCTCAAACAAATTAAAACAAAAATGAGAGATCTCATTGAAAGTGCTTAACTAAAGGACGGGGAATCTTGAACTGAATGCTTTCCCCCCTTTAAGAAATCACCTCCTATTTGCAACAAAGATTATTGTGTGTAGTTTAATGGATTCTCAGAGGGGTGCATCTATGTCGCAAAAGGAAGACCTTAGAAAGAGATAAGAGGTTAAAACCCCAGGGACGTTAAATTTGACATTTCACCCCACTTTTCAGCCTGGAAAATGGGGGAAAAAGACATGGCTACTAAAGTGAACAATCCCGTCTTTTCAAAGACCTATGGCCACTATAATAGCCATCCTGTCTTCAAAAGGTTAACTGGAATTGAGCCTGAGACTTTGCTTTATTAAAGTTACAGTGGATATTGATAAACTCATATCAGAAAAGGAGTGCCAATCTCACACTGATTTCTCGACTGTAAAATAAAGTTTTAAACTAGTGAGTTATATGCAATTCATTTTCTTTCTTTAATGTCTCTGGCCCTCACTTGCTATACTGAAGTTTGACTGGCATTCAGGTAACTAAAAGTTGGACCACACTGGCTTGGGTAATAGACACTGTAAATGAAGACACAAAATCATTTGATGACCTTTGAAAAATGTCATAGATAAAAATGTTATACTTTGTCATGAAGTAAAAGTTTTAGTTCAGTTAACTAGCTGTTTAAATTGAATTCTGATATTTATTTATGCAATTCAGTGCTATTTAATAGTTAATTTAATCACTCATTTAGGCAGTAAAACAGTTCTTAGAATTTTTAAATCCTATTTTTGAGATCTCTACAGTTTACACACAGTGTGGTTAGCCAAATCCTACAGCAAAAATATTTCACAATAACAGATAGTAATACTTTATGATACAATCAAAAATTATCATTTCATTAACATAGGTAACTCAAACAAAAAATGCTAGACTAATACATATACCTGAAAAATATAGAAAACAAAAAGTAGAGTCATCTTATTATAGTCAACTGTGAAGCTTACATTTTCAGTTATTCAATTTTTCTATTCACAAATAGATATTTTAGTCATACCATACACTATTTGATTTATTTATGCTATTACATACAGTCTTTAACTGGAAGGAAAACACTGAAAACATTTATTCATTATTTTAGCAGATTCTGCTAAATTAATTAGCTCTTAAATAGTAAAATTTGTTTCTGATTAATATTTTAATTTTTCCTTAGTAAAAAGAAACAATTCTTCAAAGAAATTTGCAGTTGGTTTCTTATTTTATTCTTATTTGTTGTCACTATTTGAAATATTTTCATTAGTGCTGATAAATCAGGAAGATATAATGCAGCTTTAATCAATATTATTAGATTGTGAAAAATTTGTTTTTCAACATTTTTCATTTCAAAAGCTTTATTCTCTAAAACCATGAATTTTTTAGCATTCTACAGTCCTCAACAGGTGTCCCACTCTGTCAAAATCTTCGTAGCTTTTCCCACCAATAAAGCATGAAACATCCATAGTCAGTGGCATTATATTGTAAAAACTGTTTAATTTACACATTTACAGTTTCAACGTCATCAAACTTTTTAGCACGCCAGCAGTAAAACTAGTAGTTCAACCTGGGTTCTAATCCCCATAAAAAGGAAGGCTGCATGGGAAATTCAATGGTCCCCTCACCTGCATAGCATGAATAAGAGCCTCTAAAACATCCTCCACAAAGGCATCCTTCTCCTCAAACAGAAAACTTCTTGTACTTTATACCATAATTTAAATAAGCTTAATCCAAACATCTGAATGCAGGATTTTTGAAATTTAGTTGTTTGAAAACTTGAATGAGAACTCTATAGATTTAAAAAAAAATAAAAAAAAATTCAGGTGGATTTATATTTCCTGCTGGTGTCAAAATATTTAATTAATATTCTGATTTAATTTTTTACTGATAAAATTTGAAGGTGTATTCATTGCCTTTGTAATCTTTTTTACATACATTTTTTACTGTTGTTATTACTCAGAAGAAAGAAAATACTAGATCTGGTGGTAAGCATACTAGAACACTAAAAATATATAGAAAGCACTAGCTGTGATTACAGTATTCATATAGTACTTTAAGTTTTGATATTTATGACTTATATTGAACTAATATTAACATAAAGTGAAGTAAAATCTTAATATAAAACTTCAAGGTAAAATGAATAGAAAGGTTACTTTTAAATTAATATCAAGAGTTATCTAAAATTTCAGAACAGTGCTAATTTTACTTAGAAAAATCAAAGACTTATAAAAAGTATAACATTCAATCTACAAATTATGAGTTATCATTACACAAAGACTTTATCTAAAACAGAATATTTTAGAACTGTCTGCATTTTGCAATGAAAATGAGCATAACCAAAAATTAAAAACAAATGCCAAACATTGCATTTACAATATGTCACCATTAAAATAAGTAAGTATTTTCATAATTTTAAGCGTGTATAATAAATAAATACAAAATAATATTCCTTAGAAAGCCATTTATGAAAACTGCTATTTTGTGACAGTGTTTTGCAGTCACAAATTTTTACAGTACCTCTTGCTTTTTTCTTCCGTTACAAACTTTTGGTTTAATCCTAGTATCCGGTGCACACGGGATTTGGCTACTTTATGATGAGGCAGTAAAAACGGGACATATACGATGAGTAGTAAACAGGTCATTCAAAGAATATATATTGTGTATATACACTATAGTGTATAGTATATACTATGTATATAGCGTATAGTATATATAGAGAGAGAGAGACGTTCTTTTGGATCACGTTTGGTGTTGGCGATAATTTTCAAAATTGCGCCAAGGCTGCACCGTATACTAGGATTTTACCAAACTTTTAAACATTTTATATTAGATTGCAAATTTTCAGTACGAAGTCAAAATTTACAGCAACGTGTTATTTTATAATAGCAAAACCAAGTTGCATTTTGCTCTGAAAATATAGCAAGCTGCTAAAAATATGTAATAAAATTATATGCTGGGCTTCGTAATACCATTATATAATAAAGTTATACACTGTTTATTCTGACCAAATAACATTCAAATTTTGCAACATAATAAAATCAGTATTAAACATTTAATTACATAATCGGTAATAGAAATAATTATGTAATAATAAGGCTGAGAATAGATATGTTTTAAAAGTCATGTTACATTAAAAAAAAGGGGGGAAGGAGTAAACATTGACAATGCATTACTCAGTACCTCCTGCAATACACTATAACTTATGCGCTGATTCTGAAAATGTCGCCAAGTTGGCAAACCAACCTCAAAGAAAAGAGAGTACCTAGAAGGAAAAATCTCAGCCAGTTCCAATGCTATCCCAATTATGTTTAGTAATAGAGTAATGGACGTAATTAAGGATAAAATATTTGATAACTACAGCCGAACCATATTCACAGAAAGACAAACATCGGTCGTCAACCAGTTCTGCTTCAAATCAACCAAAAATCCGCTTCAACATCCATAAGCAAGAAAAAAAAAAAAAAAAAATGGCGACTGAAAACATTTTAAAAGCACAAAATAATGAAATACTAGAATGAATGCAATTCAAAAACAGCACAAGTTAATTCATCATACACAAAAACACATAATTAAACAATAATTACTGTTTTAATGGAGAAATTTTCATGAAAGAAAAAGTATGTTTCTTCCAACGGAATTTTGTGATTTATATTTCAGATATGTGACAGAAAATATGTACCTTATGATTTCTGTCAGTCATAAGACCATACCATTACGGTTAACGGGGCAATCTTCGCTCTTATCTTGGGAAAAGATGAAGTACCAAATTGTTTAGTTCGAAGCAAATTTGCAAAGGAATATCGCAATGTGGGACTTCATTATTTCCAATACATTTTTAAAAATTTCCTTGGAATATTTTAATATAAATTTATGGAACTAATTTCATTCATGTTCATTCCTTCCACTTTTTAAAATATAGTCTGTTATGCATCCGGAAGAATGCTATGAATGTGCTAAAGCCTACCCCTGAAATAGACCCAAGAATGCAGGTATCTTTTGCTATTTAGAAATTGCTAATCATTCTTAAAATTTAACAGGCGTCAGATCAAATGGTTATAGATATGATTGTTTTATTCTATATTGTCGGTGACATTCTAAAAACTCAGAACAGACTATTAGAAACAGGACTGACGCTAGGTTTTTTTGCCATCAAGTGCAATCTTTACGGTTCACGAATTCTGCCACCCGGTTCCTGCCCCAGGTGTAGAAAAAAATATATGTATTACAGTTAGCAGTAACAAACTACTCAACTTCACCTACTTTAGCAAATACTTGGCTACCAAGGAGGTTAGAATAGAACCTCCTTGTTGGCTACACTCAGGAATTCAAATATGTAGTTCTAGGTAAGTTAAATTAAAACTTGCTATTTACTAGCTGTATTATATTAAATTTTGATGATTGTATATAGTTTATTTTAGGTTTACATGCATAATTCGTGTACGGGAAGTTTTCAATAGGCAAGAGTTTCTAAATTACTTTGGTTTTCTACTCTTAGTTGCCAATTAATTAATTAATATTTTACTTGCTAAATTTCTCAAAATTCCTACTAGTTTAAATTTCGTTTTTGTAATTCACAGCATTTGGTTTTGAATTTTACTTTTACCCTTGCCTATATGGATGACAAAGCCCGAATTGAGTTGAAGAGTTAGGTTTGGAGGCAACTTTCCCTTGATAAGTCTGTGTCTCCTGCCTCGTCGTCGAAGGTCGTCATTTAAGTTGAAGCATCCGAAAGCAGCGCTTTCGCTTTCTTCACATCTGATGAGAGTATCTGGTAAGGAGAGGGGGGCCCGTTCGACTGGTTTCAGTGGCGGGAAAGTAGAACTGTTGTTTCGCGGATTATGTAAAGGGGGTGAAAACCGTGGCCTTCGAGAAACAAGGCCCTACAGCCGTGGCCTTCGAGAAACAGCCGTGTTTCTCGAAGGCCACGTGAAAACCCGGTTGATTCTGTTAGTGCGGGCGCTTGGTTCAATGACCCTAATAGCTAAGCTCTTCTGCTGGTTGCTGAGGGGGTTAGTATATACGCTGAGTATTTGTGCTTAGAATTGGAGGGGCGATTTCTTAAAGAGGCAATTAGCTGATTATTGTGGTTTCTGACTTTATTGAAGAAGTTAGCTAGCGGTTTATTATATAATCGTTAATGGGCTTCACTTTGAGATCTTCATGAATATTTACATTCGGGAGGAACCAGGCTGCGTCAGTGATTTCTCTTAAAGTTTTATTTTGAATGACTTAAAGTTGTTTTAAATTTGTCTTTGCGGCATGACCCCAGATTTCACATGCGTAGAGTAATGCAGGTCTTAAAACTTGGTTATAAAGAATGATTTTGTTTCTTAAGGAATGATTGCTTCTTCTTCCTAGGAGGGGACGCATATTGACCCTGGTATAATTGAGTTTTTGTTTTGTTGCTTTAAATTGCTGGGGAAAAGTGAGTTTATTGTCAAGTATTATTCCAAGGTATTTTGCTTCGTTTTTCCATTCTATTTCTTCTTCGAAAATGATAGGTTTGGGAGGTCTTTTATTAGAGTTGCCTTTTCTAAATAAAACTGCTTTGGATTTTTGGGTATTAATTGCGATTCGCCATTTGGTGAGCCAGTCTTCAAGTTGATTTAGATAGTTTTGTAGTTGCAGCCAGACGTTAGTTAAGGTGGAGGCGTAAGTTAAAATAGCTGTATCATCTGCGAAAAGCGCTATTGTGATAGATGGATTTCTTGGAATATCGTGAGTATATATATTATAAAAGAATAATTTCCTTACATATTATAATATAGATATAAAAAATATGGGAAAAGTGCTGATCCTTGAGGTGTACCTGCCATTATACTTCTTCTAGAGGAGAGACTGCTATTAATTTTGACCGAGAAGGTTTCTGTTATCTAGGTAGGAGGCGACAAGTCGGATGAAGTGGTCCGGGAAATTTAATTTGATGAGTTTGAATATAAGGCCATTGTGCCATACCCTGTCGAACGCTTTTGCGACATCCAGAAATATGGCACCTGTGGGCAGTTTGGCGTTGAATCCATCCGTGATATAGTTGATAACTCTTAGTAATTGATGTGTGGTGCTATGTTTTTCTCTGAAGCCAAATTGTTCGTCAGGCAGGTAGTTGAAGAAATGAATTTTTTGCTGAATATTGTACAATATGATACGGTCAGCTATTTTTGCAAGGTTGTTCAGTAGACTAATGGGACGGCAATTTTCTGGGAAAGCCGGATTGGAATTAGGTTTTGGGAAGACAACAATAATTGCGTGTTTCCAAATTTTAGGATAATAAGACAGTTTCATGATGCTGTTGATAACTTTAGTGAGAGAGGTGATGGCGTTGATGGGAAGATTCTTCAAAGCAATATTTGTGATTCCATCGTACCCTGGGGCTTTTTTCTTTTTCTGATAATTGATAAATTCCACTACGATGATAGGATTTGTGAGGAAAGTAAAGTTGCGAGGTCCAGGGGTATTGAGAAAATTGTTAACGAGGCTATTGACTTCATTTATTGTGTCTTCATCATACGGGTCTGGATTATGAGTCAATGTTTCTTGCAAAGTGTCTGCGATGGCGTTTGCTTTGTCTTGGTTGCAATATACTACGCCGGAGCTGGTGTGAAGATTAGGGATTTGTTTATAACTATTTTTTTTAGCTTTCTAGTGATTTTGTAAAGACTATTGTCTTCTGTAGATAAGTCATTTAAATAATTTTTCCATCTGTCTTGCTTGAAATTTGCGGTTTCTTTTATTTCGTTTTGGATCCTGTTGAGTTGGTTTTTAATATGGGGTCTCCAGTGTTTTCCAGATTTTCGAATCTGTTTTTTCTTCTAACTTTTCCTTGATTTCCCGGGAGCGGCATATAATATTTTGATAGTAATGTTATTGTAGCTAGATTGATGACATGTTGAATATTTTGGGTGAATTTATCAATTTCTTCTTCTATTTGGGATTCCTTTTCAATTGCTGGGTTGCCTGGTAGAGGTTAAAATTTCGGAGAACTTTGGCCAATTTGTAATTCCCACACAGCGTCCCAAAGTCGGGGAGTGTGCATTAGTGGATATTTCAAGCATGATCGGGCTGTGGTCGGATGCTAAGGCTGGAATGGCAGAGATGGTGCAGCTTGGAGTTAGGTTACGGGAAAGAAAAAAGTAGAGTGGCTATTGACCTAATGGATGGGCTCATCGTGGCATTATGTTAAAATTCTATTTTGAATGAGGTTGAAAATGTCCCTGCCTATTTTATTAGATGATTACGATTCCATAGTCTATGTTAGGCATTGAAGTCGCCTCCCACTATTGCAGTAGAGTTTGTAGGAAGTAGAATTCTAGTTCTGTCATGTCCGGGTTATTTTTTGGTGGGATGTAAATATTAGAGATGATATATCTTTGATTGTTGAATTTCCCAATTATTCACTTATACATTATTACAATTGAGGTTCGAATCCTGCGAACGGGCTGGCTGCATGGGTGTTTTCGTGGTTTTCCCCATGTGTAACGTGTATACGAGCCAGTTTCCCTTAGAAAGTCCTCCACGAAGGCACCCCTCCCCTTAGGCAGATAGCCCTAGTGTGCTTTGCCGTAATTAAATACACCACACCACACTACCACTTATACAATTTAATTTGGTCTTAGAAATTCCTTAAAAAATGTTTTGAGATTAATTTTTGGAATATTTTATATTTTTTCAGGTTTTTAGATACGTGCACTTAATTTACATATGCTCTTAGAATTTAAATGATATTGTAAATTAGTTCCCAAGAATAATTAATTTTATTTTTATTTTTGCAATTAAAATTTCTTAATTAAATTTTTAATTTATATTAGCTTTATACGAATAGAAAATATTTGTCAAATTCATATATATATATGTATGTGTGTGAGTGTGTGTTATATATATATATGTGTGTGTGTGTGTGTGTGTGTGTTATATATATATATATAAATTTAACAAACATTCTCTATCCGTACAAAGCAAATTTAAAGTTAGTTAAAATGTAAATTTTAAATAATGAAATTTTAATTGCATACAAATAAATGATTAATTATTGCTGCGAACTAATTTACAATCTCATTTAAAGTCTGAGAGCATATGTAAATTAAGTCAAGTATCTAAAACCATGAATAAATATATAGTATTCCAAAGAATAATTGTTGAGCAGGCAAGAGACAGATGTTATCAAGGGGAAGTTTCCCGTCATCCATATAGGCATGGGTATAGTAATATTCAAACCAAAAGTAAATCAAATTTAGTGAATTACTGAAAAGATAAAATAAAAGGAATTTTGAGAAATTTAGAAAGTAAATTAAGAATCAAAAAATTAAATGTAAGTTGCCAATCTAAAAAGAGTAGAAAACCAAAGTAATTTAGACACCTTTGCCTATTTGAAAATTTCTCCGACACGAATTATGCATGTAAATTAGTTCCCAGGAATAATTAATTTATTTATTTTGCAATAAAATTTAAGTAAATTTTAATATTTAATTATATTAAATTTTTTAATTTATATTAATTTAATTTATATTAATTAATATTTTAATTTTATATTTTAATTTATATTATTTATTTTAATTTATATTATTAATTTATATTAATTTATATTAATATATATCAAAAAATAAAACTATATATAATCTATAAAAAATACTCACATAATACTAAAAAGGCCAGTAAATAGTAAGTTTTAATTTAACTAGCCTTTTATACATTTGTATTTTGG